GTAAAACTTTGGCATGTACAAAAATGTTAACACTAGTTTTCTAAAATGTGTATAAAACCTCTCAGTACCTGATATGTATGTAAATTGTCAGTGGTGATTGTCACCTTGTAATATTGTATACCTCAATTGTTTGTTGATTGTTTATTGTTTATTGATTGTTATTTCAAAAATTGTTTCTGGAAAAATAGGGGAAAAAAAAAAAAAGACCTCAACGGATTCCTATTGATGGAACTGTTGAGAGTACAAATTTCCTGCACAGGACTAAATACACCTGATATTTTCTAAATTTTCTTTGACATAATACATAATACTGGTAAAATTTTTTTTTTGGATTTTGTTCTGAATCCACAAAGTTTTCTTGTTTTGGTGACCATGATCTGCAGCAAGGTTGCAATTCTTTTTTCCAGCACTGTGTTTGCATTTTCTCTCCCCTTGATACCAATACAGCATGAAAATAGTGATAGTAATCTTTTACTACTTAGCTCAGAGTCTGTTTTTGCATAACTTCCATGGGGATTTTGTCTGCTTAAACAAAAAAAAATTTGGACATAAGTTTAATTGTGTGGCTTTGCGTGAAGTTCTTCCAAAGTTACAACAGAGCTGAACTAAGAAGAGGAGAACCTGTTTGCTTTGTTCATAGGGTTCCAGAAACCTCCAAAGAAGGTGAGGAAGCTTGCCTCCATTGGCAGAACTGAATAACCCAGCCAACGAAAAGTCCCTGGTATCCTCGAGAAGAGGAAAGCCCAGGTGGAGTCTGATGAGACCAACTCTGTTCCTAAAGCCTACATGGACCGGATGCCAATGGTTTGCTCTGATCGTATATGGAGTATTCCAACAAAGCCAGCTGAAATTGCTGTTTAGTTATTCTGTCCTGTGATTGTATGCAAAAATAGATAATATGGTTTAAAAGTAGATTTAGTTTACAAACTTTTGCTATGCTGTTAAAGCTTGGGATCAAGGTTGGGAGAATTTGTGTTCTACATAAATTAAACCATTTTAAGAATTTTTTTTGAGATTTTGACATATTTGCTGTCTTGTTTTGGCTAATGCCTCCAGATTTTTTTGGCTTGGACTGATGAACTGTTTTTCCAGCAATGGAGGACTTTTGCTTTCCACAATGGACAATACCTGAAGGGACTGGTTTTCTTTCACACTGGAACCCGGTAAAGGGCCTCACACCGTGGGGCTGAAGATCTGGCATCCCTTTACTTTTTGTTCTTTGTCATAGAGAAAAAAAATATTATTAAAAAGTATATTGGGCAGTGAATAGTACGTGTCAGCAGACTGTGGGTGGATGGCGTGAAAAATTATCTGTTTAAAAATTAGTTATTAAATAATTTGGCCCACTTGACAATGGGAGACAATTTATTGTACATGCCTGACAAGCAATCCAGCACAATAATTCTAGTAGGTCCTTCTTTTGCCTTCTCTTAAAGTTTCTTAAAAAAGTTTTTAAATAAAGCTATTTAAGTTAAAAAGTTTCTAGGTAAAAACAAAGTTCTAATAGCTGGGTAACAGCTGGTCCCCGACTAAAGGTCATGCAAATAAGAAAAGTCTTTTCTTGCTTGGGCTTTGGCTGATAGGGATGTGCTGGCAGCTATCTACGGTCTTAGGTTGTTGTTTAGCTAAAACAATGAGTTTTAGTGTAAGGCTTAGTTTTTTCATTAACCTTGAAGGTTGCCTTCTTGTTAAGAGCACGTAGTGGCCAAAAGTCTATAAAAAAGGGGATACACTAATTGTTTCAGCTTTGTTTCTATGTTTATAATGATGACATCTCTCGGCTTGCTAAGAAGTATAAATAAAGACCCCGCTGAGCCCCTCAGTAGAAGATACTGGCACCTCACCAAGTGTCAGTGTCTCCTCATTCTACCTCATCCCCTTCCCCTCAGCCCCTTTCGCTTCACCTAGGCCATCTTTTCCTTTCACCGACTTCTGACCCGACATTTTGCCAAAAGCTGGTTTTCGGCACTTGCCCATAGTTTTTGGTATCAAAATCGGCCCTATGTCCCCGACAAACCGTAGGGCCGAAATGTAGGAAAATAAAGTGTTAATGTCGTTTTGCCGGGTACATTGGAAGATGTGCGACCACCTTTTGGCCCCCTGATCCAGGAGCCTGGCCAGCACCCAGACCAGGAGCCAAAAGATAGGGCTGGTTATGTAACTGTTCGCGATGTCCAGGACCACCAAGAAATGGGTTGGTTATGTAACTCCAGGGCATCGTGCACAGAAAGATGACCAGCCCAACATGAATCCCTGGGCTTGGATACTGGCCATATCCGACCTTGGGAGATAAAAACACAGTGGTCGCCTAGCTGCTGCTGCTCGCAGCTGCTGGACGTGGATATGTCTCCCATGCTGTTCTCCGGAGTGCTGACTTTTTTGCCTCCGTGATGCTGTTCTCCGGAGTGCTGCCTTTTTGCCTCCATGATGCTGTTTTCCGGAGTGCTGACTCTTTGCCTCCGTGATGCTAATTTCTGAGGAAACTGTACAGTATGTATGCATGTTCATCAGTTTGGTTGGGTTTGGGGCACTGTTTATAATTTTGCTCGCACATCGCCTCTGTTGCTCACAATAAATCCTTTTTTCTTTAATACGGTGTGGTCATTGAATCCCACGGAATCGAGCTTCCCTCAAACACCTGTGCACAGGGCTAGTAATTATATTTTATTGCTAGTTACATCATCCTTGGCTTGAATTCTCAGCTGTGCTGCTACAGCCTCCATTGACACCCCTACAGGACCCAGGACTCCCTAGTTCTGGTCTGGAGAACTAGTATTTCTTGCTCCTGGCATGAAGCAAAGGCGCTCAGAGACCTGAGATGCCAGAGCGGGGTCACAGCCAGGAGCATTAGCTGCTCCTCACGCGCGCTCAGCCATGCTCTCATTTTCCCTTCCCCGTACACATTAGCCCTCCCGGCCTCTTTTCGCCTCTCTCAGGCATAACTCTTGAGAAGGGGACACACGGGCGATGCTTGTATGTATGGAGGACTCTCCACATTGCAGACACCGAGCAGCAGGCCATCTCTCCAGGAAGGGGCAGAGGACAATGGGGATTACACCTGAAGGGGCTCAGAGACTCCTTTTGGGAAGAGGAGGAAGTTTGGGGGTGGAGGTGCAGGTGTTGACAGGACAAGGGGTGTGGACTTGGTGCCCCCACACTGTGCACCCCATCATGGTGATGGTAACGCTGATGTCCTGTGTACTTTACCACAATAACATGTAGTCACAAAATGCAAGACTCCTCTGTGCCCAGAAGGAACTAAGGGCTCATGGTCGAGTAGTTGTTGGAGAAAGTGGGCAGCCACCTCCTCACACTCCCACGCCTGGTTGGAGCAACATCTCCTTCAGCTACTGGGGTGTCTGCAAGGAGAAAAGTCACCGTTTCTGTCTCTGTTCACCCCCTGGCAACCCCACCCCACCCTCCCCCTGTGAACGTGACCCTGAAGCAAAAGCCCACGTGTGAGCTGGGCCCAGTGGGGCATCTGAAGGGGCGCAGTTGGACTGGGAGGAGTAGCTCTAGGGGAAGGGCCAGGGATGGGGTACCCTGCCCATTTCATGCTCCTTTGTCCCACTCTGAGTTCTCAGAGCTGTCTGGGTGTCTACACTGAGGTTTGGGTCTCTTTGCTTGTCTGTTGTTTGTTCCCACTAAGTTGAGATATTTTCAGCCATTGTATCTTCAACCACATTCTGCCCTGTTGTCTCTCTCCTGTTCTCCTGGGAATTCCTCTACACCTTTATGCATTTCATGTCCCATCTCTTAGGGTTTTCTCAGGTTTCTTTTGTCCTCTTTATTCCCCCCAAAGTCCAAAGCAATTACAATTTCATTATGAAGACCTCACAGAGCAATTATATCTCCCAGGACAGGAATTAAGCTCAGGACAGGGGCCTCTGTCCCAGGTCAGAGCAGCTGAGTTGTGAGCAGGTGGGGGGCAGGGAGACAGGGGACTCAGTGGGTAGCACCCCAATTGCTCAAGAAAAATTGTCTACAGAAAAATTGATAGCCCTGCACATGTAAGAAATCAGCAGTGGAGATTGTAAAACCCTTCATGGTTTATGTGACAAGGTTATGTGACAGGTGATCAAACCACTATCCTGATTGAAAGTCATATTCTTTCATTATTTGTTTTTTAAGCATTCTAAGCATCCCCAATATTATTTACTAGATACTTACAACCCAGTGTGTCCACATACGGTTATTTAACAAATCCCAACAGTGCTGGCACACATGTCAGCAACTCGGAGCTGCGTTCCTGGGCCTGCGCCACATTTAATGAACTCAAGCGCCTCTGTCAGCCCTGCCCCTCTTCACAAATCCTTCTCTTTTGTTTTTTCCTTGCTTTCCATGTACTCTCAGCTACATCCAGCTTCTACTTCACCACAATCTCTGCTTATCACCCCATCCCCAACAGTTTTGTTTGGCTGAACTTACCACAAACTTGATGGATAATTAGACTCTTGATTGTGTTTTAGGAGAGATAAATGCTCAGTACTTTTGTATAGTACAGGAGAAAAAAAGAAACAAAATAAACCCCCAAAACCAAAAAATGAAACACTTGGGCTATCACCAGAGAAGCTCCACAGAGTCAGATTGAGCAGATACTTGGTGTCTTAAGAAGTAGACGGTTACCCACCCCATCACAGATTCAGGCATGGGGGGGATCACATTCAATCTCTGGAGGGTCTGCCATAGGGTAAGGAGACAGCATTCAGCCTAGTAATTCCCAAGTTCCCCAGAGCCCCTTCCTCTCTTAAGAGTCACGATTTTTTCCACCCGAATGTGACCCCCCACCAATGCATATGGATTGTGGTTCTTCTAAACCCTCAATACACAGACCTTTCTGTGTGAACCAAAGAGCCATGAGGGCATAGCACGTGCCTTGAGAATCAACACAAACAGGAAGTGTGTGGTCTCTGAGTCTTCCCCTCTGACTTCACCTCTACTATTTAAAACCCGAGGGGAAATTCAGGTTCCACGAAGACTTGATCACCCTTTTAAGAAAGATGCTGCTCCTCCTGTCCTTGTTGGCCAGTGTCCTGCTCTCTGGAGTTGAAGGAGGTAAGTGACCCTCTCTATTCTCAGCTCCACCTCCAACACATAGGCTTAGTCTACTTGCGACACTTTCATAGTGTCCACTGAGGCTCGTGTGAGTCTTCCTTGCTCAGTCTACTCCCAGAAACATGCTGAAACCCAGAACTCTATCTGAATACACAGGCACAGAAATCACAGCAAAGGAAACTACTCCTGCGAGACCTGGGGTGTCATCTCCCTTCCATGGCTCTCACTCCTGTCACCTGAACAGGGACTGATTACTAGGACGGTGCAGGTGCTTGTGGAGGGGGAAGGCTGAACTTCATAAAATTTTCCTTTCTGCAAAGTTATCTATCTCTGGAGCTGTCATCTGGACCAAGATGAGAAAGCTCGCTTGGGCTAAGTGCCGCATGTGCTCTTTCCTGCTGTCCCCGTGTTGCAGGCCACTGAGCTCCACCAGGCCAAACCCAGAACCTAAGTGAGCCATGACAGTGTGGCCCTAGTGTCTCAGGCACTAATGGACACTGTCTCCTACCCACCCCTTCCCCATCTCACTCTTATTTCCAGTCCTATCTAATTGCCCTCTAGTACCTGAGGTCAGTACGGAAGACAGATAAAGCGGTGCTGGCTTCTATCGCCTTAAGATCACACCTACCTACTGCTGATAAAAGCAAATTTGGACACTGTTCCTGTGTCCCCAGCAAAACTTTTTGGGATATTTCTAAGTGCCTGACTCAGGATGGGGATAAGAAAATCTGCAATTTTGCGGCACAGGGTTCAGTTGCTCAGGTCTTTGACTAGATCAAGCCTGGAGTAGGCAGGACACAGGGGCCTGAGACACTGGGGGAGAGAGACTACTTTCAGGTCTTTTGAATGTTCTGCCTTGAACACAGATCCTTTCCCCCAACATGTATTTGAGGGTATCTGATTCACAATAGGGTTAAGTTCCTCTCTCTACACAAGAAACTGAGAATGAGGCAAGGAAATACACTGCTCCCGATGCTGCCCAGGAGGCCATACATTGTATCCCAGGGTGATGGGTCCCTGAAGACCTCCATGGTGGACCATCCCATTTGTTGTTTTAGGCCATCAGGCAGTTCCTGTTCTCTTTTTTTTTTTTTCCCTCTGTGGGCAAGGAGATCCAGGGAATTTTTTTTCAGGGGAGATCTACTGCGGCACAGAGGCCAAACCACACTCCCGGCCCTATATGGCATTTGTGAGTTTCTGTGAGAAAAAAAATGGTCGTCAGTACCAATGTGGGGGTTTCCTGGTACAAGACAACTTCGTGTTGACAGCAGCTCATTGCAATGGAAGGTGAGGAGAACAAATGGAGCCTTGTTTCCTGGGACCACCTACATGGCCCCCGGCAATTCAGGAAGTTTCCTGAGCACACGGAGCACACAGAGGAGCCCTGTGTCATGTGTGCCAGGCAGAACAAGTGTGGGGTTCCTGGAGAATCAGAGGGAGGGGGGCTACCGAAGCACTATCACAGCCTGGATCACCTCTGCACAGCAAGGAAGGGGAACACCCACCCTCCCCTCTTTCCAATCTACTCAGCTGGGGGTCTAGAGGCTGCGCTTCAACCTGCCCTCCAGAGACTATGCTGAAGCTCCTGACTTCACATCCCCCTTGTTTTACAGCAAAATGACTGTCACACTGGGAGCTCACAATATCAGAATGGAGCTGAGTTGTTTTTCTCCGGTTTAAGGCTTCAGTTTAGGCTTGATGGTATCAGTGGTTCTGGTGTCAGGGTCATCTTGTCTTTTTCTATGTGGGCTTCCTCATTCCTGCCCCCTGCATCGACCTTTCAGGGGGTAAATTCTAGATGCTTCTTTTTTCTTTTAAATAATATATTTTATTTTTATATTCCCCATACAATTGCAGCCCCCCCTTTCTGATCCCAATCCCTCCCCTCCCGCCCCCCACCCCCCAAAAAGTGTCTCTGTTTCATAGTTTTTTGTTGATTCTGATTTTCACTTTCTTATAGTTATTCATTTTCCTGGTCCCTTATTTAAGTTTTCTAGATTCCTGCTATGAGTGAGACCATCCGGTATTTTTCTTTTTCATTTTGGCTTATTTCGCTGAGCATGATCCCTTCCAGCACCATCCATGTTGCTGCAAATTGCATGTGTTTCTCTTTTTTGAATGCTGAGTAATATTCCATGGTGTATATGTACCACATCTTCTTGATCCAGTCATCTATTTTTGGGCATTTGGTTGTTTCCAAAGCTTAGCTATTGTAAACAGTGCTGCTATAAACATAGGGGTGCAGGTGTTCTTTGGAATTGATGTTTCTGTGTCCTTTGGGTAAATACCTAGGAGTGGAATTGCTGGATCCTATGGAAGCTCTATGTGTAGTAGGTCCAGAAATCTCCACACAGCTCTCCATAGTGGTTGGACCAGTTTGCACTCCCACCAACATTGCAGAAGAGTTCCTTTTTCTCCACACCCTCGCCAACATTTGTTGTTGCTAGTTTTTTTAATATGTGCCATTCTCACTGGTGTAAGATGGTATCTCATGGTAGTTTTGATTTGCATTTCCCTGATTACAAGTGATGTTGAACATTTTTTCATATGCCTGTTGGCCATTTGCCTTTCCTCTTCAGAGAAGTTTCTTTTTAGCTCTTCTGCCCATTTTTTGACGGGATTATTTTCATTGTTGTTGTTGAGTCTCATCAGCTCTTTGCAGATTTTTGTGATCAGTCCTTTATCATTAGTGTTGGGTGCAAAAATGTTCTCCCAGTTGGTGGGGTTTCTCTTTGTTTTTGTTATTGTCTCTTTTGCTGTGCAGAAGCTCTTTAATTTGATGTAGTCCCAGCTGTTTATCTTTGCCTTCACTATCACTGCTTTGGGTGATGTGTCTGTAAAGATGTCTTTGATGTGCAAATCACGTAGTGTTTCGCCTATATTTCCTTCTATATATTTTATGGTTTCAGGTCTTATGTCTAGTTCTTTAATCCATTTTGAGTTGATTTTCGTGTATGGTGTGAGGTAGTGGTCAAGCTTCATTCTTTTGCATGTAGCGACCCAGTTTTCCCAGCACCATTTATTGAACAAACTTTCTTTGCTCCAATGCATAGTCTTTGCTCCTTTGTCAAAGATTAGTTGACCATAAATCTGTGGGTTTATTTCTGGATTTTCTATTTGATTCCATTGGTCTGTATGTCTGTTCTTGTTCCAATACCATGCAGTTTTGATGATTATGGCTTTGTAGTATAGTTTGAAGTCTGGGAGTGTGATGCCTCCATTCCCTTTTTTTTTTCAGGAGAGCTTTGCCTATTCGGGGTTTTTTGTGATTCCATATGAATTTCATCAATAATTGGTCTATTTCTTTGAAGAATGACATTGAAATTTTGATTGGAATAGCACTGAATCTGTATATTGCTTTTGGTAGGATGGCCATTTTAATAATGTTTATTCTTCCAATCCATGAGCAGGGGATGTCTTTCCATTTCTTTGTGTCTTCTTCTATTTCTTTTAACAGTGTTTTATAGTTTTCTTTGTATAGGTCCTTTACCTCTTTTGTTAGATTTATTCCCAAATATTTGATTTTTTTTGTTTCAATAATAAAAGGGATGGTTTTTTTGATTTCTTCTTCTTCAGATTTATTGTTTGTGTATAGGAAGGCTACTGACTTTTGCGTGTTGATTTTGTATCCTGCCACTTTACTGAACTGATTGATGAGTTGAATTAGTTTTTCTGTGGAGTTTTTGGGGTTCTCTACGTATATTATCATATCATCTGGAAATAGTGATAGTTTGACTTCTTCTTTTCCTATTTGGATTCCTTGGATGTCTTTCTCTTGTCTTATTGCTCTGGCTAGGACTTCCAGTATTATATTGAAAAGCAGTGGTGAGAGTGGACATCCTTGTCTTGTTCCAGATCTTAATGGAATTGCTTTCAGCTTTTCACCATTGAAAATGATACTGGCTGTTGGCTTGTCATAGATGGCCTTTATGATGTTGAGGTATGTTCCTTGTATCCCAAGAATTTCAAGGGCTTTTATCATGAATGGGTGTTGCACTTTGTCTAAAGCTTTCTCAGCATCTATTGATATTATCATATGGTTTTTATATTTCTTTTTGTTGATGTGTTGGATATCGTTGATTGATTTTCGGATGTTAAATCATCCTTGTGTCCCTGGAATGAATCCTACTTGGTCGTGGTGAATTATCTTATGGATACATTGTTGGATTCTGATAGCTAAAATTTTATTGAGGATTTTTGCATCAGTGTTCATTAGGGAGATTGGCCTGTAGTTTTCCTTTTTTGTGTTGTCCTTGTTCGGTTTTGGTATTAGTGTAATGTTGGCTTCATAGAATGTGTTTGGTATTGTCCCTTCCTTCTCAATTGTTTGGAAGAATTTGTGAAGGATAGGCACTAATTCGTCTCTGAATGTTTGGTAGAATTCATTTGTAAATCCATCAGGTCCTGGGCTTTTGTTTTTGGGGAGGTTTTTGATTACCATTTCAATTTTGCTAATTGTAATTGGTCTGTTTAGGTGTTCTATTTCTTCTTTATTTAGCTTTGGGTGATTGTAGAGTTGTAGGAATTTGTCCATCTCCTCTAGATTGTTGAACTTGTTTCCATATAACTGTTCATAGTAGTTACTGATTATTCTTTTGATTTCTGCTATGTCCGTTGTAATTTCTCCTCTTTCATTTGTGATCCTGTTTATTTGTGCTTTCTCCCTTTTTTCCTTTGTGAGCCTGGCTACGGGTTTGTCTATTTTATTTATTTTTTCAAAGAACCAGCTCTTGGTTTCATTGATCTTTTGGATTGTATTTTTAGTTTCAATTTCATTTATTTCTGCTTTGGTTTTTATTATTTCGTTTCTTCGGCTGGTTTTGGGGTTTTTTTGTTGTTCTTTTTCTAGATCTTTGAGCTTCGAGATTAGGTTGTTTCTTTGAGTTCTTTCTTGTTTCTTGATGTGAGCTTCTATTGCTATATATTTTCCTCTTACTACTGCTTTTGCTTCATCCCATACATTTAGGATATTGGTGTCCTCCTTGTCATTCAATTCAAAGAATTTTTTAATTTCTTCTTTGATCTCCTCATTAGTCCAGTGGTCTTCCAGTAGTGTGGTTTTTAATCTCCATGAGGTAGGAAAGTTCCTTGCCTTCCATTTATGGTTTATTTCTAGTTTGATGCCTTCATGGTCAGAAAAGATGGTTGGTATGATTTCAATCTTTGTGTATCTGTTGATGTTTGTCTTGTGCCCCAGTATGTGATCGATCCTGTAGAATGATCCTTGTGCACTTGAGAAAAATGTGTACTCCGTTTTTTTGGGGTTTAGTGTTCTATAGATGTCTGTTAAGCCCAAATGCTCTAGGTCCTTATTTAGAGCTTTAGTTTCTTTACTTATTTTTTGTCTTGTTGATCTATCCATTGTTGATAGTGGTGTGTTGAAGTCTCCCACTACGTATGTGTTTTCTCTGATGTCTGCTTTCAGAGAGGACAACAGTTGTCTGATATATTTTGGTGCTCCTTCATTTGGTGAGTATATGTTAATGAGTGTTATTTCTTCTTGAAGTATTGTCCCCTTGATCACAATGTAGTGACCATTGGGGTCTCTTTTTATTTTTTTGAGTTTGAAGTCTGTTTTATCTAATATAAGTATAGCTGTTCCTGCTTTCTTTTTTGGTCCATTTGCTTGTAGGATTGTTTTCCATCCTTTGACTTTGAGCCTATTTTTATCTTTTGTAGCTAAATGTGTTTCCTGGAGACAGCAAAAGGTTGGGTTTTGTTTCTTAATCCAGGCTGCAACTCTGTGTCTTTTTATTGAAGAGTTTAGTCCATTTACATTTAGAGTTAATATTGACATGTTAGCATCTGTATTTGCCATTGTGTTTGTCTTTCCTTTGATTTTATTTATTTATTCTTTTAATAATTTTTTTTTGGCCTTCTTTTGTTGTTATTCATCCCTCTGAGGTTCTGGCTTTAGGATTCCTTGTAGTATTTTTTGGAGTGGGGGTTTAGTCGTAATGAAATTCCAGAGTTTCTGTTTGTCTGGGAAGGTCCTTATTCTTTCTTCATAGAGGAAGGAGAGCTTTGCGGGATAGAGTATTCTTGGTTGGCATCTGTTTTCTTGGAGTCTGTTGACTCTGCCCCTCCACTCTCTCCTTGCCCATAGTGTTTCTTCAGAAAAGTCCGATGTCAGCCTGATTGGTTTTCCTTTGAATGTTATCTGTTTCTTCCCTCTTGCCAGCTTCATTATTTTTTCCTTGTCCTGGATTCTTGGTAGCTTTACTATTATGTGTCTTGCTGTATTTTTCCTTTCGTCGTGGAAGTTTGGTGTTCTTCTTGCTTCTTGTATATCAATTTTTAGCTCCTTCTTCACATTTGGGAAGTTCTCTTCAATTATCTCCTGGAATATTTTCTCTGTTCCTACATCTCTCTCCTCTCCTTCTGGAATTCCTATAACTCTTATATTTCCTTTCCTCATGGAGTCAGATAGTTCCCGAAGTCTTTCTTCATTCTTTTTCCTTTGTACTTCTCTTTCCTTTTCTGTTTTGGTTCTTTTTATTTCTGTGTCTTCAAGAGTACTTATTCGTTCTTCCATTTCATCTATTCTGCTTTCATTGCTTTTCCCAGAGTTCTTTAGTTCCTCCATTAATTCTTTGATCTCCTGCGTTTCTTTTGCTTCCCTCTTTACGGACTCAATTTCATTCTTCTGATCGTTGATTATTTTTCTCATATCATTGTTTTCCTTTATGACTTCTGTCAGTTTTTTAATCACAGCAATTTTAAATTCTCTTTCTGGAAGTCCTAGAAGTTCTTCCAAGTTACTCTCGTTATAATCTGGAGGGTGGTTTTCTTTTTGTGGTGTGCTTTTTTCCTGAGGAGTTGTTAGGTTGTGTGTGGTTCTTCTATTCCCTACTGTCTGTTTTCTAATTTGTCGTATGCATTGGGACACTGTGTTGCTCGGACTGGCCGGCATCTTGGGTGACTTCTCCGCTCCCCTCTGGCTCCTCCAGGAGCCATCTCTGGCTTCTGAGGGAGCTTTCTGCTGGTTTCAGGCAGTCTTTACTGAAGAAATGTCCCTGTTCTAAAATGGCGATGCGGGACTCAGTCCCTGCGCTTCCGGTCTCAGGCACATTCTTCTGCGCGCCCGGTCTGCCCCGGCCGTGGGTGCCTGTTCCCTCTGTGGGCTCAGACTGCTGGTCGGAAGGGGCCTGGCGTGGGCTAACTCCCCAGCTGGCCACTGTCTCCTCCAGAAGCCTTCTGCCCTTTTCAAGAAGTCTTTTCTTAAGAAATTTCCCTGTTCTATGGGGTGTTAGTGACTTTTTTTTTCCTGGTCGCTAGGTGGCGCCAGAGATCTCTCCTATTGTCCTTGTGGGGGCTGTTTTTCGCCTCCCCCCACTCCATGGGACAGGGAACAGAGCGGGAATGGTAGGGTAAACCTCAACGGCTTTGGGGTGCTGTGTCTGCCTTGTGCCCCACTGTCGTGGAGAACCCACGCCCCGAATTTCGTGCCCCGGGTCTCAGTTCCAAAGCCCTCAGGTCCAGGACGCGGGCTGTAGCCCAGTTTAGTGGCGCGGGAATGGCGCCTTTTGCACCCCGCTCCTGTGCCTGGGCGCCTGATTCCTGCTTACTCAGTGAGGGACTTTCACCCCAGTGAGGGCCTCCACGCGTCTCCCCGCAAGCCTAGGTCGCAGGCGCGGGGAACTGGGCTGCCGTGATCCCGATCCGCGTTTGCTTTTCAAGCGCGCCAAGCGCGCTGCTTTTCCGCGCAAGCTTACCGGCCGGCCCGGGGCTGTGTGCAGGTCTCCTCCAGAGTCTCCTTGTTCTTCTCTAATGGCGCCTGGAGCCGTTTGCTCACCGCCGTGGCGAATCCTGCAGGGTTCTCCGCAGCTCCTGTTCATGGGGTGTGGTGGCTGCAATAGTTCCTTTCCACTCCCAGTCCCGCTTGCTGCGTAGTTTGTTCTTGTTGGTTGTTTTAGTTTGTTTTTTCCCTCCTCTCTGCTGGTCGGAGAGTGCCGACTCTGTGGGTGGGGGAGGAGAGCAGGGTTCTGCGCTTTCCTCCCTTCTAGTCCTCTTTTATGGCAACTTTCTTCTTCAGGTAGTTTGCTGGAGTCACCTGTTTATCTTCCCTTTCCCAGTTCTCACTGGGACCTGCCGCTTTTCCTCCCTATTAACTTTTTTTAATGGGAGATCTTACTCGCAGCGTCTCCTCGCCACCATGTTGCTCCGCCCCTTCCTGGAATCTCTAGAAGCTTCTTTTGAGGAGCTGGAATGTCAAAGCCCAGTGGCCACAGCTCCATGAGAACATAGAAAACCAGGAATGATTAACGTTTTGATAGAGAAAAACTTGCCAGCTCATTCTGTATATTTGCTCTAAGAAGGTGTTGGCAGCATTCTAAATTATGCGACTTTGGTAATGTATTTCAATATAATAGTTATGTAGATAGTCATGGGCTAATTTTTAGGGTAAAAAATCATGTTTATTTAGTCAGTATTTTGTGTGGATTTTGGTATAACTTCAGAGTATCAAAGTAAGAAGCATCACACCAAAAATGAGAACACAGGTCTGCAGTATCTAGGGTGCGGGTGGCATGAGGGGCGAGGACGAGGTGCTGGCTGTTGATGGACCTGGGTGGCTTCCACCTTTTTGTTGTGGTGACTAGTGCTCTGGGTGTGAACTTGGGTGTCTATTAGCTATTTTCAAGCAAGAAATTTTCTTTTTTCTAGTATTTTTATGGTTTAATTTTTTACATTTTGATCTCTGATCCATTTGAGGTCAATTTTGGATTATGTTGTGAGGAGTTGATTCAATTTTACTTTTCCCCTCCAAATAACTATGTAGTGTTGTAGCACCATCTATGAAAAGTTCATTTCCCTTCTGAAATTTGAGATGCTGGGCCTCCCTGGTGGTGCAAGGGGTTAAGACACAGCACTATGGAGCTGTCTGTAGCCACTGCAGCATGAGTTCAATCCCTGGCCAGGGCGGTGACCCACAAGGTACAGCAGACCTCTCTTCTCTCACCCACTGCTCCCCTCAGCAGTGTATTTCTGTTGATCAGCCTGTTCTGCTCCCCACTCTCTCTCTGGTGAATACTCTCACCCCCGCACCTTTGGCCTATATCCCAGTTCTTGTATGCATAAATAAATAAATCTTAAAAAAAGAAATTTGAGATGCCACGTTCATCGTGTATTAAGCTGGGCCTTGTGTGATGCTTCTATTCTGTCCTCTGATCTGCCTGTCCTCTGCGAGGCTACAGTGGCTAGGGTTTTAGAATATTCTTTACTACCTAGTGTCCCTGGGGAGATGTGTGTCCTTCCATTGTTCACCAGGTGGTGGGAGAGGGAGGAGACCAGGGTATGGATGTCTTTGAGGAGGGAATAAGAAGTTCATCCTGAGCATGGGGTGCAGGGTCATTTGTGTTGGGGAAGAGACCCCAGTCTTCTGGAGGCACTCAGACTCAGTGCTGGCAAACATCTGTTGTATACTGAATGACGTTTAATGAACAAATGAAAAATTTGTTATTTTCACTTAGACATGGACATTTATTAGGGTTCTGGCAACCCCCCTGGAGCTGGCCTCTGCCCCAGAAAAGAAGACTCTATCATGGGAGTGGCAGGATGGGGGGGGCGTGTCTCAGTCTGACTGTTTGAACCGCCTCATTGTTCTCCTTATCCAGGGCATGAAGCTCGAGACCCTGGTGAAGACAGCTGGAGGAGTCCCATCATTACTTCCATAGGACACAATGCCCTGGCCCACACCATTGCACACCAGTGGGCCCCCGGAGTCTCCCTGTGGGTGAAGAGATAAAGGGCCACTAAGCCAGGCCTCCCTGCTGCTGCTGCCCTAAGGCCTGGCCCACAGGTGGAGGTGGTGGTGGGCTCCTTCAATTGCTGGGTGTGTGCAAAATGGGAGGGTGGTGGATCATAGAGTCAAGCCTCTGAATCTTTCATTGCTGGAATTCAGTCCTGGCTCTGGTTACTCTCCCCAGTTTAAACCAAGTGAAAGTGCCTCATCTTCCCCAGCCAAACACTGCAGAGGTACAATGTGTGCCCAAAGCTTCTCCAGTTCTCCCAGAGACAGGAATGCTGGGAAAAGCCCCCAGCTCTCCCTGGCCCCAGCCGGAGGTCATGGGGCTGTGGTCTGCTCCCACTGCCCAGTCTACCCAGGCCCCTCTGTCTCGGGCAGCGTTTGCGGTTGCCCACAGCCTTACCCTGAAGACAGACTTCCTCTCCCGGGAGTTCCCCACACAAATTTGCGTTTGGCTTTTGTAGATACGAAAGCGCCTGCTGCACTCCTGATCCCTCTGCACTCTCAGCTGCGCCTCCTGGAGCTTCTCAGTTTTCCTGTTCAGGCCAACCCGGCCCCAGCCGGCCACCATACACTGGGTCCCTGGACTCAGCCTGCCCCGGGACCGAGGCAGGCCCAGTGTCTGCACGGCTCGGTTCTTCTTGGCTCTCCTCTCCAGCTGGCAGGGAGAGGGTGGGCCCTCAGGGACCATGGTCCTCTCTCACCCTTGGGAACACCTCCCCCCTCCTCCTGTCCACGAAACCCCACGCAGGGAGGGAGCCAGCTCAGCTGGAGAACCAGAGGGCCAGGCAGGTGGTACCTGCAGTAACATGATGTCGTTCTGGTTGTTCTGCGGGTTATAGGCAGGGTGGCGGATGGCTCTGCGCACTCTTATGTTCTGCTGGGTCCTTTCCTGCTTCTTGACATTGTGGGCCCCCAGCTTAACGGTGATAGACCTGCAAAGGGAAGCCGCTGAGAGGCAGGTGGGAGCTGCAGGAGCTCTAGGCCCCCAGCAGGTGACGCAATTGCTGAGAGAACTGAAGAACTGGGAGGGCTCCAGGGCTGAGCTCTCTGTGCCTTCTGCTTCTCTGTGCCTTGAGCTGGGGCTTGAGGGGACACGGTGACCAGAAAAAGACTCTCACACTCTTCCCATGGGGGCACAATGGGATGCCGTTCCTCCATAAAAAGAAAGGAGCTGCTGATATGCACAACAGTATGGATGACGCTCCAAATATTCACACTGAGTGAAAGTTCAGATGGGAAATACCTACTGCGGGCTGCCACACACTACAGTACAAAACACACAAGCACTGTCTCCTCTAGAATAACTGGAGGAGCGACTTGAATTCATGGTTGGAGCCCCAATGCTCGCCTTCCCTCTCCTCTGCTTGGTCTTTTTTAGGTCATGTTCTGCTTTCTCTTTATTTACTCCTCCTCAAGACCTGCTTGGTCTCCTGGCACCCTGTCATTGCTAGCACCTGCTTTCAGATGACGCCTGGCATTGCTCTTCCGGGCCCGTGTCCCGGCCCCCTGGGAGCTCCCTGGGCGCTCACCTTCCCTGGCAATGAGCCGCTGTCAGCACGAAGTCTTCACGCACCAGGAAGCCCCCACAAGAGCTCAGCCCCACAGGAGTCTGGATCTGAAGGTAGGCCATGTAGGGGCGGGAATGGGGCCTGGCTTCTTTGCCTCCGATGATCTCCCCTGGAAGGAAGCATCTGGCATTTATCTCGGTGTTCCCTGAACCGAGGTATGGGCACCACGGTGACCAGAAAGGTGAGAAGATGGGAAGGCAGGAGAGATGAGGCAGTGTAAGCAGTCGATGGGGAGAACCGGGGTGTGCATGGTACCCACACATTGGAAGAGGGCACCAGGATTTCACAGGGAGCACTGCTAGCTTCAGGGGAGACCCGTTCCCTATCTCCGACCTCAACCCCTCCCATCTCCCCCAAAGAAGGAAACAAGTCTTGCCCTGGGCAAGGGCAGCTCAGCCTCCTGCATGGAGAGGTGCTCTGCCGCCAGGGGGTGATCCGCTCCCTCTGCAGGGCCCTCTCCCTGAAGTTTCCTGCTCCTTTCTTCTTCAGGGAGACTTCCAGATCCCTCCGAGTCAGCTCACGGCCAGTTCATGGCTAGCAGGAGCCAGGTATTTAGGAACCTGGACAGGAGCTGATAGCACATTTATTGCCTTATCCCCTGGGCTCTGGCATGGGCTGCACCCTGAGTTCAGAGAGCACATTTGTATAGCATCTGCTACGTGCCAGGGGCAATCCCTAGAGTTTTATGTACACTAGTAGTTTAACTCTCATAGCAACTCTGTGACTTGGGCATTAATGTTATTCCAATTTTATACACAAGGCAAGAGAGGAATTGTGGATTCAAACCACCTGCCCAGGGATAGAGTTAGGAAGTGCCTAAGCCATCTGGCTCCAGAGTCTATGGGGTGGGGTCAGCCTCTGAGGGAGGGGATGGTTACTCACCTGCCTCAGTTCTGGGGGGTAGGAGAAGGGCCGGCAGGAGCAGGAGTAGGTGCATCTTCCCAGGAATGCGACCAAGTCAGTTGTTCCTGATGCTTCCCCCTGTGGGACTTTTAGCACCCCCACAGAGAGGAAGGAAGGAGGGGGGTGGCAGCCTGAGAATTCAGGGCCCCATTTTCCTGCTGGTGTGATGGATTGCATTACCCAAGTCTTCCCAGAAGGCTTGCCCAACAACTGCCAGTGATCAGAGGAAAGAGAGAATGTGAGACTCAGCTCAGCCACACTGCTCTCCTGTGCAGCTGCTGAGTCAGGGCTGGCAGCAGATGCAGATGCGGGAACCAGGGCAGTAAGGAGGGGGTTTTGGGTACTGTGTCCAGGACCCTAAACTCACCATATTCAATAATATCCTACAATGCATGAGGTCTGGTAACGCCTCGTTCTTCCATTTCCAAGTCCTCTGGCATAAGAGCTTTAAAGAGCTGCAGGGAACATGAAACTTAAAAAAGTGATGTAATATCTGAAAAAGACTTAATCCAACTTTGAGAGCAAAACATGAAATAACTGAAGTTAAATTCACAGCGGACTTAGAAGGTTGAACATATATTTAATTAGGGATCTAGAAGAGAGAAAGCAAATAGGAAAAAATGATAATGAGCCAGAAACTTAGATTTTGTTCAAAACTGATGAAAAACACCCCATGAAAAGTTAAAGAAAATAAATAAGTTTCAAGCAGAATAATAAAAAGCTATCTGTACTAGAAATCAATGCTGTAAGGAAATGAGAGAAATCTTAAGGCAACTGGAGAAAGACAGATTACTTTCCAATGAATGGCAGATTGAAAAACAGAATTTCCAGAGTAGTGATGAGCGAGAGTCATGTGGGAAGAAACAACCACATGGTCATTTGGGAAGATTTAAAAACATTTCATATAAATTGGTTATCCTATAAAATGATATAGCAGTTTTAAATAGCTGATGCAAAAAGCTAATGTATATTGAACAACTTGCAAGTTATACCCTTTACAAGCACATATAGGTTATTTATCAAAAATTGACCACAGATTAGGCCATAGGTTAGATCTCAAAAACTGTTCCAAGGATTAAAATTATATACCACTTGTGGTCGGCTATAGTGAATTTAAGCTAGAAATTGGAAGAACATGAATAGAAAGTTCCTATATTTTTGAACATGTGATGCAATAACACCTTCATGGTGAAAATTTTAATTGCTATACCAAAAGCACTAATCATAAAGCACTACTGATGATTTGTTAAGTTAAAATCAAACAAATGCGGGCCTCCCTGGTGGTATAGGCGTTAAGTTTCAGCACTATCACCGCTATGGCCTGAGTTCAATCCCTGGGCAAGGAGCTGACCCACATGGTGCAGCAGACCTCTCCTGTCTCACCCACTGCTCCCCTCAGCAGTGTATTTCAGTAGATCCACCTGCTCTGCTCCCAACTTTGGCTCTGGTGAGTCTTCTCACCCCCCGTACCTCTGGCCTACACCACAGTTCTATGCAAAAAATTTTTTTTTTAAATTAATTAAAAAAACCCAAATGAATGACAATTTGTAGAGGGGGCAAAGATGCTTGTAACACATATAACAAAGGACTTAGAGGTAAATTATAAAAAAACTTCTGTAAATCAATATGAAAAAGATAATCTACTCCATAGAATGATGCACCAAAAAAAAAAAAAAATGTGTGAATTAGTGCCACATACAGTGACACAAATGAATCTTAGCAACATAATGTTGAAGGTTGCATTCTGCAGGATTCTCCTATACAAAGTTTAAAAGTGGGCAACGTGAAACTGTATTGGATAGAAATGCGCACAGAGGTGGTCAAAGTATGATGAAAAGCAAAGAGGTGGGGATCACATAAGTCACGACAGTGCTTGGCCTGGGGCTGGGGGGTGGAGAGGCATGAAAACCAGGAGGAGGCATACGGGATTGTGGGACATTGATTGTGCTTTATTTCTTGACATAAATTGCTTGCTTTGTTCCTTCAACTGTTGTTTTATGTTTCGTGCACTTTTCCTATTATATATTTTGCAGTAATTTTTTATAGCCTGTTTGTCAGCGGGTAGGGATTAGAAATCACATTTGGATGGAGAGAGGGATACATGAGAACAGGTGGGAGACTATATCTTCAAATTGTCTATGTAATTAAAAAAGCTGTGATAGTTGAATAAATAAAACCATGATACGTTTCTCAATATTCATAGCTTGTTACATCTACTTTTGACTGTTTTATTACATTTCCGGCAGTTGCCATTTTTTTCTCCTCTGGGATGTTGGGACATTAGATTATATTTCCCACAGCCTCCCTGGGCCCCGTACCATCTTCTGGGCAGGTGGTTTGCCGGCTGTGGCTGGGCTCTTCCTTCTCCTTCCTGTTGATCCTGTTCTCATCGAGGACACTCTACTGATAGTTGCTCTTGGCTCTGTAGGAGAACAGTGCGCTTCTGAGCTGAGCTGGGCATCCTCAGGGTTGCCTTCACCGCCCCTTAGGAGGACACTTTGGAAGCTCTTTGGGATGTTATGGTCACTTTATGGAGCAGCAGGCCTGGGAGACGGCTGTGCCAGAGCTACCGTCTTCCTGACACAGGTGTCTTTTGGGAACAAGGCAATTTTCTTGCGTAAGCCTGGCCTTTGCTGTCATTCTAGAAGGGAAGAGTGGGTGGCAAAGAGAGACTGAACTTCTGGAAGGTACATGATTTCCCTGAGCAAATTTTATGGGATCTGCACAAAATCTTCCCATCAGAGTAGACAGGGTGAAAGAGCCCAGGATTTGACAGAGAAAGATTTGGAAAAAAGTTCAAGGACCCCAATGTTTCCTGGCAGAAAAGCTAACTTTTGAGACTGGGTGCTAGACTTTGGTGGGTAAAGGTGAGAAGAAGGGGGAGGTGCACTTGTTTCCTGAGACTCTCTTCTAAAAATGCTCAGACAGGGGCCTCCCTGGTGGTGCAGGGGTTAAAGTCTCAGTGCTATCAAGCTATCCCCAGCCACTGTGGCCTGAGTTTGATCCCCAGCCAGGGAACTAACCCACATGGCACAGCAGATCTCACCTGTCTCTCCCACTGCTCCCCTCAGGAGTGTCTTTCAGTAGATCCACCTGTTCTGCTCCCCACTCTGTCTCTGGTGAATCCTCTCTCCCTCGGCGCCTCTGGCCTACACCCCAGTTCTTGCATGCATAAATAAAAATAAATCCTTGGGGAAAAAAAGGCCTTATATGTTTAAAAAAATTCTCAGACAACCCAAATAGGAGAGCAATAGGAGAATGGTAATATATATTATGATACATTTATGATGCTATTAAAAAACATAATATTTTGCAAGATTGCTTAGTGGCATGGAGCATTTGTATTTTCCAATATTAAGTAGAAAAAGTAGAATGTAAAATGCACCTATAGTTTGATACTATTTCTATAAAAAGTAGGCAACTGCCAGAATAACCAATTTATGTGACTCATTTTCATCTTTTCATTATCCAACTCTTTAAAAAATAGAAGTGTATTATAAGCAAGAAAAACATTAGGACTCATGGCCTTTATGACTAGCAAACACTATTAAGCATTGTGGCTGAGGAGACGAGCTAGCAGATTAGGAAAAAAAAAAAAAAAGTCATTTTCCTCCAGGGCCATGGTGGACTGCACGGCCCGGCCTCACTGAGGTCACCGGTGGCTGCGGGGTGCAAGTGGAGGGGAGATGGACGCCTTCCACACTGTGATGGGTTCTCCTGGGACCCTCACTTTTTACCTGGAACTTGTCCCCTGGCTGGGCACATTCTACCGTTGCCTTGTCGTGTCCACGCAAGCACGTGGGTCTTCTCAAACCCGCGCTTCTGCTGGCTCTGGGACCCCGCTGCCCTGGGACAGCCTCACGCAGAAAGCAAGCCTTGACGCTTTCCCCCTTATTTTCAACATGCTGGATTTTGCTTTTCATATCCGTGTAATTTATTTCATTTTTTCCTTTTTAGTGTGTCGCTTCTCTTGTTGATGTTGGTCCCGCTTGATTCAGTGTTTGCGCTCATGGAGTGTTCTGTCGTATCCGGCTCACGGCTGGTGCTGTTGGGCGGGTGCGGGATCTCAAAATTAGGCCTTGTGGGCCACAGGGGAAGGTCAGCACTTGGCATTTCCCGGGTCGGTGGCCCAGGCCCATACTGTCCAGAGGCTGGTGCCTCCTTCCTCGCCCCTCTCACCTTAGCCAAGGACTCTGGCCAGCATAGATTGGAATGTGGGTCCCCAAGTCCTTTTTGATTTCACACGCCACCCTTCTGGAATAAAACAAGATCATGCACCTGCAACTGTAATACATACAAAATGCAGGGAATTTTATTATTTTCAAAACACGATTTGCCAAACCGATCTGCCTGGTGGAAGGAGAGGGACCAGGTGAATTAGAGGAAATTTATCATTACTGTAAGTTCCCCAGTGGCAGGAGCAGAGCCTGTGATGAGCCTGGCACAAAGACAGAGATCAACGTTTTACCCATCGGTGGACGACCAAGTGGTACTTCCCAGTCCTGCCATACCCCAGGCTGCCAGCAGAAGGAGGCAGAGGCGGAGGCCAGGCCTGGCTGAAAGCGCTGAGGCTATAAGTACCCGGGAGGTGGTGGCTGAACCCTTGGAGGGTGGGGGGAGACACTGGGCTGGACAGGGGGCACCTGGTCCTGCTCAGGTGCAAGACGGGTACTTACTCTTCTGCTAAGCATCAGGTAGGCCGTCAGCTCAGTTCAAGTGAGGACAAGCAGTATGGGAGAATTCCTTTATTGCTATTGGAATTAGGAAGAGGAGAGACCGCCTCTAATAGAGTGGGGCAGGAAGGGAAAGGAACTGGGGGCCTGGGCACTTAGGTGAAAAACAGGGCTTGGTGCAAGACAATCAGCCAGGGAGGAAGGAGATTGCCAAGCTCAGTGCTGGGCCCAGGCTAGGGCAGGAAATTGGACCTGGATGAGAAGGAAAAACTTGCACCCGTAGAGAGACAGGCCCTGGTCTCCTATTCCCCCTCCTCTGACCTGCTCATCTGCCTGTGAAATTGTTGGGGGTTTTGGGGGGTTGGGG